ACATATTAATTAACTCTCATCTTTCTTCTTTTCTCTAGCCCTCCGGATCGAGCACAACTTCGGTAAAGAAACGAGGCCCAAAGAAAAAGTTGCGCTCGGATGAAAGGTTTGAGATCACAGCAATCGCGCGCGATGGCAAGCCGATTGAACCCATCCGGACAAGGGATGCATTTCGTGCTCAGTGCAGGGTTCTTGTTAGGGACAAGATCCCGATCAGTATCCAGCAATGGTTAAAGCCTAAGAAGGAAGACCCTGAGGTGTCTTATGTCTCCGATATGCAGAAACAAGATCTTTGGACATCGCTTAAGGCAAATTTCACCCTACCGCCAGAGGATGATCCTGAGAAGCCTGTTAAAGAGCAATTGATCAAGTCTCACACTCTTAAGAAGATGGCAGAACTATTCAGGAGGTGGAAGAATAAGCTGAAAACAGAGTTTGTCGACGAAGATTTGACACCAGAATTCACCAGAAAGTATGAGAAGATCAGGGATCACTGGCCCACATTTGTGGCCCACAAGACATCAGAAAAGAGTAAGAAGATGTCAGCGATGAACAAGAAAAATGCTGCGAAGAAGAAGCATCACCATCGCACGGGGTCAGGTGGCTACCTCAAAGCCCAACCTTTGTGGGACAAGGCTGAGAATGACCTGATTGCTAAAGGGGTCGAACCAGAGACATTGAACTGGCCAAACCGTTGCCGGACTTGGTTCTTCGGGGTTGGTGGAACCTTGGACCCTGTAACAGGGAAGTGCGTTTGGACGGAAGAGCAACTGCGAATACCCGTCACAAGGCTTCAGGAGTATATCGAGAAAGCGCAGCAAGGGACGTTCATCCCAGACAAAGAGAAGGACGAGCTCACAATGGCCCTCGGGAATCCTAAGCACCCTGGACGGACACGAGGCACGCCAGGCTCCGTTCCGTGGAAGGCTGGCTTTCCGGACGTAGGGGGTTACAAAACCCAAGAGAGGAGGAAGAAAGTGGAGCATAGCCAACTGCAGGCGCTGCACTAAAGGGTACAAGGGCTAGAGGAACAAGAAGCAGATCGCAGCAAACGGCCTGCCGAATCATCCCCTGAAGCTACCCCGCCATCTCAGTGGAGAAGCAGCGTGGCTTCCACCGAGCAAACTCAGCAGCTGGAGCCTGTCTTCACGGCTCCTGCTAGCTACCCCGTGGATGCTATCACGGAGTGTCAACATTGCCACCTTATGACGCGATGTATGACATTGAAAGTTAAGGCGGCTGTTGGCTCTGTTATACCTAATGAACCTGGCGCAACCTACCACGGTCAGCCGGTTCCAGAAGGATATGCTAGGGTGATGGTTGATCAAATAACGAACGAATTTGAGGACCTTCAGCTTGACCACCCTACGGGTGAAGGGGAGATTCGGCTGGGTTCTTCTCTGAAGACTCCATGCCTATGGCGGAAGGAGCTCATCAACCTTCCAAATTGGACGCCTCCGCCTCCTCCCCCTCCTCCGGCGAGTCAGGGCAATCCGCCTCCTCCTCCGCCTCCTCCTCCGGCGATTGATCAGGGCACTCAGCCTCCTTCTCCGGCGCGTGGCGGCACTCCGCCTCCTTCTTCGCCTGCGCCGGCGCGCCCGAGCATCCAGCCTCCTCCTTCTCCACCTCGTCAACAAGGGCGGATCAAGAGACCCGCTGCCGCTCCGGCTGCTCCAGCGCGTCGTAGTCCTTCTCCTCTGTCTCGTAAGAAAGGAAAGACAGCCGCAGCCGATTTGTCTGCTCCGGCGTCTAGCAGTACAGCCAGAGCCAGGAGGCAATACAGATTCAGTCCTTCTCTGAAGACTCCAGAGAAGTTACTATACGAGAGGAACGTTGAGGAAAACACGCAGATCGTCCAAGCCGAAGTGAAGAACTTCTTTGAAGGGGTGAAAGCAAAGAAACATCCACCTCCGGAGGATAAAATAGATCCGGTAAAAGCGAAGCGTACTCTGGCTGCCCTGAAGAAACCACCAAAGTCTCCGGCGAAAGACAACTATGAGCGCATTCTTACAAAGTCATTTATCGAAGCGTCGCGGTCGGGAAGTACTGTCAGTGGTCAAAGGTTAGCAGAACGACGAGCTTGGAAAAAAGTTGCCCAGCTCGGTGAACAAGCGAACCAATCGTTGCCCCTGCTCCAGGTGTCTAGCATCGTCGCGAATCATCCGGGCGGGACAATGGTGCCCGGTTATGACGATCTTGGAGATTACCTGCCCGACGATGCACATTTCGATTTCTTGGAGGTGGACGAACACAAATACGTGTACGGGAAGCCTCTCGTCAAAGATGAAAGATCTCTAACAACAATGATGCGAAAATTCCATGATTGGTACATGAAAACCTACAGAGAGTCTGGGGGGAGGAATATTTTGACGCTGAGAGTTAGAGAGGAGCATGACCTCGTTGGAATTGAACTGTTGAATGTTCCATTTGAGGAGTTCTTCATGTTTTTCAATCTAAAGGCCCTCGATAAATTGATGATCACTTGCTACTGCCTGTAAGTAGTACTACTTTTGTCATTAAATCTCTATATATAGGTCAGCTCTTTCATTGCATGTATTTTTAATTATCCTCACTATATTATGCAGATTGAAGATCGCCGAATTGAAGAAAAGACAAATCGGTGATATTGGGTTCATTAACACAAATATCATAGATGCATATATGGTTGAATTTCAGGCCAAAGATACCGAGGCCAAGCTGCTACAATCGTTTGTATTAAATCAAAACAAAGCTATAATACTCTTCCTTACGAATTCAAGTGAGTGTTACTGTCTTGTGCATATTCGGTTTTCCTTATTAGTCGAGGTTATAGTAATGTAATTGATGAGTTATGCATGCGTGCGCAGGTTCCACTATATTCTCCTAGAGATTAAGCTTGAGCAGGGACTAGTAACTGTTTTAGACTCGAGACGAAAAGATCCCAAGGAGTATGCGGACATGACTAAAATTCCAGGGAAGTTAAATCGATCATTATCGCACCATATCGGCAACTTTGTTCATTTCCTGATATCAAGTAATTGTTTTCTTTGTCTGACAGGGTTTGAAAAAAATTCACCTCAAAAACTCCGGGACTGCCGAAGAAGCTGTAATTTAGACACCTGAAAGTAAGTACTCTAGTAGCATGTTCCACGCTCTCCTAGTGATTCAAGCACTAGTTTCATCAATACCATTTAGCATGCTTGCTAATTATCAGTTTGATTGACCTCTATTTCTTGTAAAGTGGTTGTGGCAGGAACAAGGGAATGATTACTGTGGATACTACATTTGCGAGTTCATCCGCCACACGACCTGTGAGCGAAGTGCGTAAATAGTAATATTCACAATTTTATTTTATTACCATCATTTGTGTTCAGTTTCATTTATATATATATATATATATATATATATATATATATATATATATATATATGTATGTATGTATGTATTGAGCCCCTTCTTCAAATTAGATATTTCGGATGCGGGATGAACTCCTACCACCAGATCGTATGCGAGGAATTCAAGAGGAATTGGCGGCATTCTTTCTTGACCACGTGATCGCTAAAGATGGAGAATACCATGTGGACCCTGATGCGTTCGATTTTAATTAGGAGATTATATTGTAAGAGATACTTATATTGTATATATGTAGCCAGTAGCGTCGGATAGATATACGAGAACTTGTTGTTCGACCAATCTCTCAGAGAAGGAGAGGTGGTCGATATCACTTCTCTTTATATGCATCTGTTCATGACGATCTTCTGTTTCCTTCATTTGCTAACTAGCTAGCGTGTCTAGTCCTCTCTATACGTATAGTACGTAGCGTTGACCAAGCACGGAGATAAGAGAGGACACTTCTCTTTATTAATTAGCTAGCTAACACAATATATGAAACACCTAAATTAACCCCCCAAAATCCCAAACCGGCCCCCTTTAAAAAAAACAAAAACCCCAGCACCTGAAATGCTGACGCGTGGATGCCTATTGGCCCCGTTTGATGCCACCAACCGGGACCAAAGGGCCTTCTGCCTGGGCTCGCCGCACCGGCCACGTGGAGGCTCATCTGTCCCGGATTTAGGGCATTAGTACCGACACTTTAGTACCGATTCAAAAACCGGGACAAATGACCCTCACGAACCGGGACAATAGGTCCTTTTTCTACTAGCGCGGAGTCATCCGCCACATGTACATTTGCACTGGAGTCAGGGAGATTGTTCACTTGAAAAATAAGAAGGGTACGGGTAGTGATTGTTACTGTTGTCTGTCGGTGTGTATTATGTACGTACCATGATGACAAACTTACCTGCTAATTTGAGAGAAACTAATCTATTTTTCTTGTTCTCAACCTTTCATCCATGGTCTGTATATATGCGTAAATTTGATATTTCCACCTTTTCATCTCGCTTGAGTAGGTAGGTTCGGAGGACAAAAACACACGCACGGTAGCAATGCCATGACTAGCTATCTTTTTTTATGGTATTGATCAAAACTAGTACTCTCTGATTTGGCTGCACTCCCATATATTGCTGCTCACTTGTTCCTCATAAATAGTGTCTTATACTGTACTATTAGTTTACGGGCTTATCTCTTACAAGTTACAATTACTTAAAGTTCATAATATGTGTGATTTTGGGTGCCAGAGATCTCCTGCCTTGCAAGCTATGGATTGTGTAATCACCATAGCATTATCTGGTTTTGAGGACAGAGAAAGATTCACGTCTCTCATCAGAATGAAGAGAAGAACCTTCTGCTCCTCTGCAGCTTTGGTGAAGGTTACGTCTGTACAAGATATGAGCAGCTACACCTTTGTTGACAGGTAAGAACAAACATTTCAGGTAGCAAGAAACAGTTAAGCATTTTGCAAATTAGTTATCTGTTCGAGCTGTCTGAAAAGGGTATCCGTTGGCTGAATGGCAGCAAGCTGAAGATAGCAGATGGGTCAGATGTTGGGGGCTACAACAATCGGTGATGCAGGATGCCTTCTTCCTCCCTGGCTCCTCCTACCTTAGCAGAAAAACGACCTCTCAAAATTTCCCTTGCCACCCAAAGCCTTCTTCTGCTAATCTTGGCTTCTTGCACTGTCGTTCACCTTCATTATGGACTTGAAGCTGTCCATCAGTAGCAGGTTTACTGTCATCAACCATCAGCTGAACAACCATTGATGTTATAAAGCTTAGTCAGAAGAGCCAACTAAACCAGCGAGCAAATCAAACATGATCCAATAAATTCTGCAACCAATAAATCGTACTAGTATTTTTAACATAGGGAATTTAATTAGACTTTTATTACCTCAAGTATCTCCTCATCTTCATCCATACCGTCGCCAAAATCTTCATCCACCTCGTAATCCCCCTCCTCCTCCTCGATGTCGCTCTCCTCGCCCTCCTTGTCCTTGGCATTGCCTTTGTTGGGGAATGTTCCAATGGCATTAGGCTTCCTGAATTGTTCCACATTCTGAATACATGTTACAGGGGTGTATGTTAGTATTTTTCTTTTTATAGCGGATGTAGTTACCAACTAAAGGGTAAACAGGAATTAAAAGGTAGAACCGGACTGCAGAGTTCATATGATCCCACCGAACCATACACGCCGACGTTGTCACGGCCGGCCGCCTCATATGAACCCGACTGCAGTTCATATGATCTCCCCCTATTCTCCTGTGGCTATCGCCGCCTCATACACGCCGATGTTGCCACGGCCCCGGTGCCTCCGTACGTCTTCCCCCATCACCCCTTTAAGATTAGGGAACCCCGAACACTAATCACTACCCTCGCCACGATGCGTCGACCGAAGGACCAAATGGGATAAACCAAATCTTGAAATCCGAAAGAAACAGAAGCTAGACGGGTAAGAAAATCAATTGAACCTGAACGCACCTTCCTGAAGAGTTCGATCTGTTCCTCCATCGAGCAAGGAGAAGCTTTAGCCAACATGGCCCCGATGCCCTTGATGTCGTAGTCGCGGACGAAGGTTAAAGCGTACTCAGGCACCGGATTGAACTTTCCGGCAACCGTAAAGGCGCCCAAGGCACCGCCTCGTCGGGTGCCTGCCATATGCTTGCCTCAGATCGGCGGAGGCAGCGGTGAGGAGAGGATAGGCCGATGGGGTATGTATGGCTACTGGCTAGGGTTTACTAGCGGAGAGGGATGCGCCTATTCGATGCGCGTGACTGCGTGAGTGAGTTCCGTGCTAAAAGCCACAAATTCTTTTTCTTTCTATGTAAATGACCTTTTTTGCGGGGAAAATAAATTAGAAAGCTTCGTAGAGAATATGGCGCCATAGTATTGGCGTTTTCTAGTCGCGTATCTTCTTTCGTGGCTCAAGTGAACAGAGTAAACAAATAGCAAATGCAGTATAATATACATTAAAATATAATTATGGAAATTTACATGCACAATGGACCTCAGTTGGAAGGTGATCATCGTCTATGGCCCGGCTGACCACAAGAGGTCAACAGACTTTCTGGCTGAGTTGACGGACAAAGTTGAACGGTGCACACACTTCGGTGGTGGTGGCCGGACAAGAGCTCTCCGAACGTGGACTGCATGCGCATGCGTCTATTCAATGACTACATTGCGGATCTGGCATTGCGTGAGATAGCCCGTGTAGGGGCTAGGTTTATATGGACGAACAAGCAATTGGATCCTCTCCGGAGTGTGCTGGATAGGGTCCTAGTCTCGGCTCAACATGAACTCATGTTTTCACTGTGCTCTCTCAAGGCGGTCACTAGGATTGGGTC